TCCCTAAAATTGAACAGTGTATAAAACTTTATATTCATATGACATTATCAAGGACATCTGCTGAATATTTTTTCTTTTCTTTCCTTGTTCTTCTTGTTATCTGCTTTACCTGCTAATTTTTTTAAAAAAAAACAAAAACTGGCCATGCACTAATTTTTTTCCCTGTGTAATTTTCTATTCCTTATTTGTTTTTCTTGTAGGCCAGTTTGGTCTTTCCAATATCAGTAAATCTTCATAGTATACTACCTTCAGTGCATCTTCTTCACTGTCCTTCAAAAATTTTTCCAATGCTCTTTTTTCTTCTTCAACTGTCTCGTGTCTTTACAATGCCCACCAGTCATTAGCTGTACAGCAATAGCAATAGCACTTAGACTTATATACCACTTCACAGTGCTTTACAGCCCTCTCTATGCTGTTCACAGAATCAACATATGTCCCCAACAATCTGGGACCTCGAAAGGATGGAAGGCTGAGTCAACCTTGAGCTGCTGAGAATTGAACTGCTGGCAATCGGCAGAATTAGCCTGCAATACTGCATTATAACCACTGCACCACCATGGCTCTGTATAGGTTAGATGTACAGGATAATAATCCTTGGTAAGTAAAAGCTTTCAACCTATTATCCTTGGTAAATAAGTTATCAACACTGCTGTGTGGATGAAAAGTTTTCATCCACACAGCAGTATTGATAGTTCTACCTGTCATTATTTTTTTGATCTTCCTATCCAGGATTTTTAGATCTGCTTACATTCAGTCAACTATTCCAGCTGTACATCTAATCACTGGGATTGCTCAGGTCTTAATTGTCTTGTTGGTATTTCTTCCACTGTGTTTGGACTTTAAGATCTTCTTCACTTTCTTGAGGTATTCATTCTTTTCCTTGACTTCAATGTGTTTGATGTTGTCACTTTGAAGGATGCCAAGGTAGTTATTGTCTTCATCCAGAAGCCTGTTACTTCTAAAGGACATCTTGATTTTTCTACTTTTGATGAGAAGTGTGACACATTTGTCCAGTCCAGTCCAAACACAATTGCAATATCCTGACTCTATATACAGTATGTGTTGAGCAGTGATTCAATTTCAGATGCTGTTTTTTCCATACAACTGTACACCTGTCCATATAGGGGATATGGGGTAGCTTGATAAATGTTTTTGATGGTTGATACCTATGGCCTTGTTCAGTATTGAGTTTACAAAGGAATCAGCACAACGACAGACAGTAGTGTCGATGGTGAGTTTCCTTGAAAGATTCCTCTCTTGATATTAACCTCTCCCAGACTATTACCAGTGATCAGCAACTGTGCTTTCCATCGTGCCATCGATCTTTGCACAATGCTCCTGATATTTCTACTGGTTCCTGTTATTTCTAGTCACTTGTCATGTGGCAGGGCATCAAATGCCTTTTGCAATCAATCCCAGATATATTCAGGTTGGTCTTTTTTCAAAATCATCCTGTCAATTAGGAGATAACTGATCTTTATCTCTCCACTGTTTGAGTAGCTTCCTTTCTCAGATGGAAAGAATTTGTTTTCAACTAGATGCTCTTGGACTGCATCAGTACCACGCCACTTTGAAAATTGTTGGTAAGCAGTAATTAGCCTGTAATTGGCTGGTGCTGCCTCTTTTGTTGGATTTTTCATTATAGGGTAGGTTTTACCAGGCATTAATTCATCTTCAATTTCACTTCCTTGCAGTATGTTGTTACTCTGCTTGGCAATAAGTGGATGTAGATTAACAGATGTTTCAACTAAACACATGGCAATTCATCTTCACCTGATGCTTACCAAGTCTTGATCTTCTTTGTTCTTTTCTCCAGCATTTCCCCATTTATTACAAGTGTTTTCTTTTTAGCTTCTTTTTTTATTTTTATCCACCTCCTTTGTCCAAGCTGTATACTTATAGTTCTTTGCATTGTCCCATAGCTATGTCCAGAATTATACTGTTTTTTCTTTGTCAGATACTTTGTGGTTCATTGCAGTGTCTCCGTGGATGGATTGGTAGAAATGTCTATGGAGATTCTCAGTCCTCCAGCTCATGGTTGTCCCAAAGATGCTTTTTCAAGAGGCAACTGGACTTTCTGGTTTTTATTTGAAGATGTTTCACTTCTCATCCAAGAAGCTTCTTCAACTCTGACTGGATGGTGGGGAATGAAATGATTTATACTCGTTGCAGACAGCTGGTCATTTGCACTCCTTTTAGTGAGTCATTAAGGTCATCTGGAGGTTTATCTGTGTGGTCAGGGTCACTTGAGTAGTACAAATGGGTGTGGAGCCTTCTTCAAACTGTTGAAAGGGCTGTGTTGTAGATTGGAGGTAGATGATATCTATCCCCCTCTGTTGAGAGAGGGCTGTTCAATTTTGACATAGATGGCCTCTTTGATCCCTCTTTCAAACACGGGCTCCTCTCTGTCTAAAATGTGGACTTTTCTTGTCTTCAAAAGAGTGGCCAGTGTCTTTCAAAGAAAAACCAGAAAGTCAAGTTGCCTCTTGAAAAAGCCCCTTTGAGATTGGTAGAAATGTTTCTGATTTGCCTGAAATTGCAGAGCCTTCCTGTAGTGTGCAATTCAAACTTCATATTGCTGATCTTCTTGATCGTAATTGAAATTTGCTCTTTTATTTCTAGTGGTTCCTTGGTCTTCCATGTCTCTAGGTCATATTTCTTCATTAGATATGCTTTGGTCTTCTTGTTCTTCAGTTTCTTTCATTTGTTCCAGCTTGCTTCCATTTATTTGCACGGTTTTATTTTTTTTTAACAGAATAACAGAATTGGAAGGGACATTGGAGGTCTTCTAGTCCAACCCCCTGTTCTAGCAAGAAATACTGTACCATTTCAGAGAAATAGTCTTAAAAACCTTCAGTGTTGGAGCCACCACAACTCGTTTATTGTTCTGTCAGGTAATTTAGTTCTAAGTTGGTTCTCTCCTTGATTAGTTTCTATCCATTGCTTCTTATCCTGCCTTCGGGTACTTTGGAGAATAGATTGACTCCCTCTTCTTTTTGGCATTTAATGTTTTATAATGTACACCACTCAGAGTCAGAGTGATTTATGTTGTTCTAGACTCTCAGTTATTTTTTTGTTTTAATTCCTCTTGATTTTTTTTTTTGTTACCGTGTTTCCCCCAAAATAAGATCAGATCTTACATTAATTTTTGCTCCAAAAGATGGTTATTTTCTGGTTAGGTCTTATTTTTGGGGGAATACGGTATTAAATGTATCCATCTGGCTGACAATCTTAACTGGGGCTTATTTGGGGGACAGGACTTATATTACGAGCATCCTGAAAAATCCTGCTAGGACTTATTTTCCGGTTGGGTCTTATTTTCGGGGAAACAGGGTAGAAAGCTTTTTTTTTTTTTCTGAGAAGAAGGCAGAGGAGAGGAAGCCTGGTTTGGGAATGAAAAAGATTCAATAGCTTTTCTGGCTTTCTCTTCTATTGACTCCCCTGGGTCTGAGCTCTACAGTCTGAGCTACTTCTGGCAAGGCTTCAATTTCTTTGCCCTTGGTAGACCTTTGTGGTTCTTCCAGTCCTGCTTCTGTGAGTACTTTATTTTGTGTTATAAATCGATGTTGATTTGTTAGCTTCTGTTCTGTTATTTTTAATTCTGGATCTTGCTCTTTCCAAAACTTGTGCATTCTTTTCAGATATCTTCTGCTTGATGGATTTGATTTTAATAACAGAACATTATTTCTTTGTTTTCAGTCTTTGTATATTATTATTATTATTATTATTATTATTATTATTATTATTATTATTACTACTACTACTACTACTACTACTACTACTACTACTACTACTATATTACTTCTCCTCTTAAAGAGGGAACAATATCTCCAAGATTATTGGACACATATGGAGCTGTCTTCTGTAATGACTCAACTTTTTGGAGCTCACGCTCAAATGAGGTTTATCAAATTCACAACACTCAGCCCTGCAATTTTTTTTCCAGAGTCCTAAATATTTATTTTTGTTGTTGAATTTGTACAAATGTTCTCCTCTCTCTCTTGCTCTCTCTCTGTAATTTATTAGTTTTAATATTTATTGTTTGAACTGATTGATGCTATAAGTTGCATTTTAAAAACAAAAATAAAACAGAGATCTGAGCATCATTTTAACTATTTTTAAAAACTAAGGCAACAGCCTATAACTTTAAAGGATTATTGTAAGAAATTATTTTTCATAAATATTATAATCTTTCCTAATTTTCACTTACCTAAAATGTTTATCAGTCAAAGAGATGCCAAATGTGTCAATGGTCCAAACTGAGGTGATTTACAGGCCTTGGACACTGGCATACATTTGCACCAATTCAAATAGTTTGCAGACAATCACATTTCTATATCTATATTGGCTCATTTCTTCAGTTAAGTCAGAACAATTGTATTTTTGCAATTGTATTTATGTACCAGATTATTTTTTTTTAATATATTATCCAATACGCAAAACACACAGGGCAGTTAACAATAAAACTGTTGCTGATTGGCTGCCTATTGTTGCTGGCCCATTCTTCCCTTGATTTATCTCTCATTTCTACCTGCCAGCCCCTGATGTCAAGAAAGCCAAGCTAGTTTCTAATTTAAAAAAAAAACAACTAATTAGCCAAAACTTTGCAGATTACCTGTTCACGAGTGAATAGAAAGCAGAAATAGTGAGAACCCTTGTCAATATCAGCTCATTTAGTTTCACCTGTGACAGACTTAGACTAACTTTATTGTCACTTTAAATGTACACTAATCAGCATACATTAAAATGAAATTTTATTGCATACAGCTCTCAAAGAGTCACCATCTCCAATATACACTACATCAGGCCTGTCAAATTGGCAGCCCACAAGCCGGTTACGGCCCGTGTAGGCCACACTCACCCCGGCGCCACAAAGGCAAAAAACATTGTGATACGTCACAATACGGTCCGCGATGCAAGCAGGTTTGACACCCCTGCACTACATAAACATGACAAAATTATAAATAAATAAATACATAAAAAAGTATGCATATACTCACATGCATAATGTCTGCAAGAGTCTGCAAGCAGCCAAAACAGCCAAAGGCAACTTCAGCTGTGCTTTAATGCAGACGATCTGGATTCTGCCTGCATTGTTGAGCTCAGCATGCAACCATGCTTAGAGCTATTGCAAAAAGCACCTGATTACACAACAGCTGGCATAAATAATTTCACGTTCAGATACTTTTTGATGCAATTGTGAGGTTGGCAAGGCAATTTTGATTCAATTATGAGGTTGGCAAGGCAACCTGAATGCTTCTATCTTTTTTTTTTCCTTTTTAGATAAGCTACCATCCTTCTCATAATTTCCCATTGTATCAATATGTGTGTGTGTGTGTGTGTGGACATCAGCACTTCAGTTTGCTTCCTTATTTTGCTCACTTTGGAGGGGAACGGTTAATCCAGCATCTGAAGAAAAATGTGTAGAAAGAATTTTGACTGTACAGCAGCTTTTTTTTTGTTTTGTTTTACTGTTGGCTAGATAGAAAAACAGTTGTCTCGTGGGGTTTTTTAGCATTTTAGCTGGGTTTTTTTTGTTTTGAGACTTGCAACGATGAAGACAATTGCACATTATTTTCGAACTCCTTTGGCAGGATTGGGAATTGGAAATGATGGTAATGCAGAAATCAAAGGAATGAGCATGTATCATTCCCAGTAGATGACAGTTAAATAAAATAATTTGAGAGTAGGTAAATGATAAAAAATAGCACCTTCAGCTGATAGGATTTGCATTGTTGACATCTGATCTAGCTTTAAAATACCTTGGGAGTTTTAAAGTATACTTGAACCTACAGGTAAAATGTGAAAGCCATTAAGATTGGATCTAGACTTAGTCATGCTTCAAATGCACTCACAGGGATTTAAGTTATTCATCGATGCTTATTCCACTGATTCTGAAAACTCAAAGCTAAATCCACTCTGTACTTATATTTTGGGAAGGATCATGACTAAGTGCTAGAGGCTCTGCTTTGCATGTTAAGGGTCCCAAATTCATTTCCTAATCTTTTGAGTTCTGATTAAAAAATAAAAATCCTAGGAGCACTGATAACAATCACTGCAGCTAACAGTTATATATTTAGAAAGTCACTATTAAAAGAAACACCAGAACTTTTTCTTCCAGAACATATCGTATATACCTCCATCTCAATGGCTGCATCCCATCATTCAGATACTTGCATTTTTATTATTATTATTATTATTATTATTATTATTATTATTATTATTATTATTATTATTATTAATTTTATTTCTATACCGCCCTTCTCCCGAAGGACTCAGGGCGGTGTACAGCCTATTTAAAAACACAAGACAAACATCAATTTAAAATTTAAAATTATTAAATAAATTCGGCTGAATTTAAAACCCCAAAAATTTAAAATACCCCAATTTAAAATTGTTATATTGATAGCCTGGCCTGGCGGAACAACAGGGTCTTCAGTGCACAGCGAAATACCCGGAGGTCGGAGATCTTACGAATTTCAGGGGGCAGTTCATTCCACAGGGCTGGGGCTCCCACAGAGAAGGCCCTCCCCCTGGGTGTCGCCAACCGACATAACTTGGCCGATGCCACCCTGAAGAGACCCTCTCTGTGGGAGCGAACTGGCCGGTGGGAGGCTATTGGTGGCAGAAGTCGGTCTCGAAGGTACCCGGGTCCTATGCCATGGAGCGCTTTAAATTTTAAGAAGAAAATCCTCCAGAAAACCAAGCTATTATTTTCAAAGACACATGGAAGAAAGAAAAGAAGGGGAAATAATAGAAATGAAATCAATGACCAAGGAGAAATTGGAGTAAAGAAAATCAAAATCAAAAAATCAGAAAAGAATACAATTAACAATACAATTAATTTTGTTTCTGTTTGGAAACTATTTCTGGACTTTTGCAGGTGGGAAAAAAATGAAACTTTGATTTTGGGTTTTGCTGATTAGATAGGTTTGTTGTAATAGAATGGCTAGCATATAGTATTACATAAAAGCACATACATTGAGATTGTATGGTATTACCGTGTTTTCCCGAAAATATGACATGTCCCAAAAATAAGTCCAAGCCTGATTTTTGGGGTGGGCATAAATATACACCCTCCCTGAAAAACAAGCCCTACTGAAGGGGTGGGCGTGGCCAACACAGGAGGCAGCTTCCCTTCCCTGGTCACCTCAGGGCTTCTTGGCCCCTTAATTGTATCAGCTGAGCCACTTCGGGTGCCATTCACAAAACAGCTGATTCATGGGTGCTGCTCAGGCTGCCTCTTCCAGCAAGCGTGGCCACTTTTGCAGCTAATTGTGGCTGCAAAAGAAGCTGGAGGCTGAGCGATGCACCCTCACACCTTCCCTAACTGTGACAGTCACAGCAGGCAGTTCCATCTAGAAAACAGGAAAGGAAGGCATGGAAATCCATACACCTGGGACATTGGAAGAAGACCTGTGAGGAGACGCCGCTGCCGATGTGCAGGAAATCTCCCCCCCTCTGCAGAGGAGTTCAAAGAGGAGTTTCACCAGGATGAAGAGGTGGCTGGAGGCAGCATTTGTGTTGGGTTGGGCTTTCTTCATGAGGGGGACGATCTGGGGAGCAAGAGATTTAGGAAGCCTGGGCTGGCAGTTTCTCCAGTGAAGCATCTGATTTATCCCCAGGGGTGAGCGTCTTATGGGCTGGCCGGAGAGAAAGCATCTGATCTGAGCTTCAGAACAGGATGAGAGGCAGGAAAATCCTCCCTCCCATTTTCAAGCCGGTCGCAAAAATGGCTTGAAAATGGGGAGGGCGGATTTTGCCTCTTATCCAGTTCTCAGTCTGTGCTGAGCTTCAGAACAGGGTGAGAGGCAGGAAAATCCCCCCTCCCTATTTTCACACCATTTGCAGAAATGCCCCATTCTGAACCTTCAGTGTTGCAATCCTGGAATATGTTGAGGGCTCGGAATGGGGCATTTTTGCAAACAGCTTGAAAATGGGGAGGGAGATTTTCCTGCCACTCACCCTGTTCTGAAGGAAAGGACGGTGTGTGTGTGTGTGTGTGTGTGTGTGTGTGTGAGAGAGAGAGAGAGAGAGAGAGAGAGAGAGAGAGAGAGAGAGAGAGAGAGAGAGAGATCCTTAACCCCACCTCACCCCTCCCAAGGCAGCCACATCCCTCAACTAACCTGCTTTCCTGCTCCATTCTCCACTACCACATGTAGGGCAAGAAAAGTAGTCTGTGGGATCTTTTCTTTTATGTACACTGAGAGCATATGCACCAAGACAAATTCCTTGTGTGTCCAATCACAGTTGGCCAATAAAAAATTCTATTCTATTCTATTCTATTCTATTCTATTCTATTCTATTCTATTCTATTCTATTCTATTCTATTCTATTCTATTCTATTCTTTCCAACTTCACAATATATTTGTTTTAATAAGAAGTTGGAAGGGCTGAATTTCTGGTATTTTTTTTTACCATAGTCACACAGACTACTTTTCTTGTCATGCACGTGCAGCGGAAAACGGAGCTGGAAAGCAGGTGGAGGGGTGTGGCTGCCTTGGAGGGGGTGGGGTTGTGTGAGGGACCTCTCTCTCTCTCTCTCTCTCTCTCTGTGTGTGTGTGTGTGTGTGTGTGTGTGTGTGTGTGTGAGAGAGAGAGAGAGAGAGAGAGAGAGAGAGAGAAGAGAGAGAGAGAGAGAGAGAGAGAGATCTGATCCAACCTTGGAGAATTACCATATACCAGGGCTGGTGGCAGTGTGCTCTGTCTCTCTCACACACACAAACACACATACAGAGGTTCTCTGGAGCTCTTTGCCCTCCTGACAGCACTGCTCTCGGCCACCTGCTGGGCTACTCCTGCCTGGCATGGGATGAGTCGGCTGAGATCTCTGATCTCCAGAGTGCCCCCCCCTGCTGCTGGCCTGCCAGGGCCCTTTGCCAGCGGCCACTGGTGGAGCCAAGCTGCTTCACTTGCTGTTGCCTTTTGGCTGCTGAGCACCTTCCGGCAGGTCTACTCGGTGCTGCAGGCTATGAGCTGAGTCCCCTTTCTTCAGCCCCTGGTGGGCACTAGCTCTAATGCTGGCTGTGTGAGGCAGTGCAGACAGTGCAGATCCACTGATAGCAGGGGGGCACTCTGGAGGTCATAGATCTGGGACAAGTCGGCCTGCACCAGGCAGGAGCAGCCCAACAGGATGGCCAAAAGCAGTGCTGCCAGGAGGGGCAAAGACCCCCCACTAGGCCAGAACAGCACAGTCAGCTGTTCGGTAGCCATCCAGCAGCAAGGCCAGCAAGCAGGGGAGGCTGAGGCCAGGGAAACACAGTATCTTATTCTACTGCACCAAAAAGAGTAGGAAGTTAATGCTTTTCTTTTTCTTTCCCTTTTTATGCTACACTTTTTTCTCTTTCCCTTCTCCTGTCCCTTTTCTCCACTATTCTCATTTTTTTTTTGTATTTCTGAATTTTATATTTTTATAAACTAATAAAAACCAAAACAAAATACTAATAAAAAATCAATAACTAAATATAGCTCCCCATATGTATGTGTTATTAAATATGAATGAGATTCTCTGCCTTTTATTAATGTGACAATGCTTACTTTCTAGGATCTGGGAACTGTATACAAGGAGTAATGTTTATTTTAATTCATTGTTATGGGATAACAAATAGCATATATTACTTCAAAGTTCTCCTTGCCATATATTCCTTCCAAGTTTCATGAAACATAGCCAGAAATACAGGATTCCCCCCACCCACCCACCCCCCACAAACAAAGAGTTTCTGGAAGTCCATAATAGGAAAACGCCTATTTCTGTGCTGGATCAGTCTGTCTGAAAACTATGTATAATGGGATTATTTTGAAAGCCTACTAAATACAGGTCAGAAAAGCTAGTGGGATTTCATGCATAGCATGATTAGTTCTTGCATAAGCTAGGAATCACATTTTCTCTTATATAGAGCCTGCAAAAATGGGGGAAATGAAAATGTACCTTGTTATATTGCATCGTATCAGCACATATTTTCAGATAAGGAAGAGAAAGTGAAGGTTTATAACTTAATATGTCGGATGATAATATCATTTCTGGTATATAAAAAAAAATGTTCCAAATGTGGTACAAACATTACCTACCTTCACAGAAACTGAACTATCTGATAAACTTGTTATTAGGTGTATGTCTGGTGTGTGTGTGTGACATTCCATTTAGCTGTAAGG